ACATTTCTATCTCCTCTTATATGCATGGTCCAAGCCAACATTGGGACTCCCTTTGACTACTCCAACAGGATTGGGGTTAGGGTTCTCATTGCTTGTCCCACTGAAACACACTTCTGTCCCCACCCCAGAGCCCTTGTTGTTCCTGGAACTCCATGCTATGGTTTATGCGGCTCTAAATCAGTGCTTCTCAAAAAATCTCTGGTAGAGAACCAGTCCCCACCCCTTGAATCCACTGCAGACCAAGAGTTTTTAGAAATACAATAAAAATAAATTAATTGTTAAAATCATCACATGCTTTGATGCTTCAAAAATGTCCAACTGCTTCCCACATACCAGGCTGGTAACTGCCCACAGACAGCACTGGGGTAGCTCTTAGATCAACTGGCTTTTGTTGCCCATTGACTGCTACCCTCTCCCTGGTTAATTCTGCTCCAGCCACATTCTCCATGTTCAAGCCAAGTTTGAGAACATGAAACTTGTTTCCTTAGAGGTCTTCCATTTGCTGTTCTCTTTGGCTGAAACATTCTGTCTTTGCATTTTCCTAATGCAGAAGGGTTGACTCCTTTTCACTCAAAGCTCAAATATCCCCTCTCAAGAGAAGTCTTCCTGCACCACCTAAGTTAGAGTGCATATCCCCACCCCCGCCCCAATTAGCACTCACTCTGGATCACATCACCAGCTTTAGAGTCTTCACTGCACTTACCACTACCTGAAATGATCCTTTATTTTTAATTGGATCAAGAAGAAATGCTTTCCTATCATCCCAGCTCATTGCAGGCCATTTGCCCAGGCAGACTGGCAAAAGCTCCTTTCCATCCAAAGTCACCCTTCTTAAGAGCAGGAAGTCCAAGGGGATCAGGTCTTCACTTGGATATGGGCCTAAGAACAGAGATCTGATCTCTGTATGGTTCCCTGCTACATCCCAGCAGTGAGAATAGCACTTCACAGAAAGTAGCTGCCCGACAAAAATCCCTGAATAGGCTGGGTATGGCGGCTCAAACCTGTAATCCCAGCACTTTGGGAGGCTGAGGCAGGTGGATCACCTGAGGTCAGGAGTTTGAGACCAAATCCCATCTCTGCTAAAAATACAAAAAAGTTAGCTGGGCATGGTGGCGGGCACCTGTAATCTCAGCTACTTGAGGGCTGAGGCAAGAGAATTGCTTGAACCCAGGAGGTGGGTTGCTGTGAGCCGAGATTGTGCCACTGCACTCCAGCCTGGGCAATTAGAGCCAAAGTCTGTATTGAAAAAAAATCCACTGAATTAATTAGTCTGGAGAAATGAAGGCCATTCTCTTGAGAAGTTCTGTAAAGGGAAGGAAGGATGTAGGAGCAGGTTGGGAGTTTGGAGTCATGAAGTGGAGGCCATGGATGAGACAGGAAACATGACAGGAAAGGTGAACAAACAGTGGCACACACAGCAAGCACCAGGAATTCTCAGAATGAGACTGCAGTGTGCAGTACTGAGAGCCTTCTTCGGCAGAGGGTACACTTGACATGGGCCCTAAGAGGAACTATCTGGCCATCTTAGGAGACCTGAAGTGGGCATTCCAAGAAGTATGAAAAACACAGGCAAAGGAACAAAAAAGAAAGTTTAACATGGAAAATAATTTTGGGGATGCAATATCTATTTAGCATTTTATTATAAAATCTTCCAACCCACATAAGATCACAAATTTAACATCTAGATTTCCACAAACATCTTCCTTTTTAAAGCCTACGGATTTAGGTCAGGCATAGTGGCTCACACTTGTAATCTAAGCACTTTGGGAGGCTGAGGCAGGCAGATCACTTGAGGGTCAGGAGTTTGAGACCAGCCTGGCCAATATGGTGAAAACCTGTTTCTACTAACAATAAAGACATTAGCCAGGTGTGGTGGTGGGCCCCTGGAATCCCAGCTCTTGGAGAGGCTGAGGCAGGCGAATCACTTGAACTCATGAGATGGAGGTTGCAGTGAGCCGAGATTGTACCACTGCACTCCAGTCCCAGCGACAAAGTGAGACTCTGTCTTAAAAAATAATAATAGTATCATTTTTCATCACCCGCTTATGAGTGAGAATATGCGGTGTTTCATTTTCTGTTCTTGTGTCAGTTTGCTGAGAATGATGTTCTCCAGATTCATCCATGTCCCTACAAACGACATGAACTCATCATTTCTGATTGCTGCATAATATTCCATGGTGTATATGTGCCACATTTTCCCAATCCAGTCTATCATCGATGGGCATTTGGGTTGATTCCAGGTCTTTGCTATTGTAAACAGTGCTGCAATGAACATTCGTGTGCATGTGTCCTTGTAGTAGAACACATGGACACAGAGAGGGGAGTACTAAACACTGGGGTCTATAGGGGGGAAAAGGGAGGGCCAGTGGGAGGGGGAGGTGGGGAGGGATTGCCAGGGGAGAAATACCAAATGTGGGTGAAGGGGAGAAAGCAAGCAAAACACACTGCCATGTGTGTACCTATGCAACTGTATTGCATGCGCTGCACATGTACCCCAAAACCTAAAAAGCAATAAAAAAAAAAAGAGAAAAAGAAAAAGAAAAAAAATAATAATAATAATAATAAAGTCTTTGGACTCAAAAATTCTATATTTTAGTAGTTTCTCACAGCTAACAGTAACTGACTTCCTAAAGTTTTCCTTCCAATTCTAGAACAAGCCAAACTGAGCAGCAAAGTGGGGGTGGAACAGCCTACTGGTTGGCAGCTTCTTTGTAAAAAGATTAAAATTTATTACTAGAAACAGTACTAGACTGTCAGGAAGGCCAGATTCTAGCCCCAGCTTTGGCAATAACTCACTTCCTGTATGGCCTTTGTGAGTCTCGCTTCACATAGGGGAAGAAAATGAGGGAGCTGAACCATATATATATAATTAAAAATATGTGTATATATTTATATTTATTTATATTTTATTTTATAATATAATTATATATAATTAGGGTCACCATATATTTCATTCTTCAAGAATCTTCCGAGAGTCAAAAAGAGTATCATTCATAATTTCACCAGGAAAATGGACCTAAACTTGGAATTAGTGATTCTGGGAAAACCAAAAGGTCTGACCACCTGTATCTATATGCTTTCTTCAGCTCAAAAGTCTATCTTCCTCTAGAAACACCCATGGGTCGCTTTGTCATGTTCTATAGCTGGCTTGGTACCTAGCACATCCCAGATGCTCGCTGTTTGCCCCATCTCCTTTTGGTGAGCATTTCTGCATTCTTTATGTAATCAAATTCACTGATTTTTCTTCCACAATTTTACTGTCTCATGAAGTTAAATTGTTCTTGTGCCAAACAGCTCCTACTGCTGATTTTACATGTTGAATATCCTCAGGTGGCCTCTAGTTTTTCAAAGGAGGTAAATATTCAGGGGCAAAATTCATTATTCTACAGGTTAAAAAGTAAGTAGTGAAAAGATCTACCTGACTGGTCCTAAGTTCTTCAATGACTTAAGGCCAGAGTAGTAGCGAAAACCTTGTTTTTTCAACTAGATTGCCAATGAACCATATTAATCAAATAAGAGATAAAAGAAAACCTAAACAACATATACTTATTGATGCCTTTCACAAATCTTGGAAGCAAATAACACATTCTATGCAGATCAAAACTCTAACTCAAAACTAGGAAGGCCAGAGCTATATTTCCAAATATGGCATGTAACAATTTGCCAAGTTTTTAAATAGTCTTTTTTTTTTTTTTCTAAGGAAACTCGAGTGTTTGATTGCTATTTTTTCAACACCAATGCTATTTTATGTCTAGAAAGCATGTTTGGGGGCCAGGAGCAGTGGCTCACGCCTGTAATCCCAGCACTTTGGGAGGCCAAGGTAGGCGGATCACCTGAGGTCGGGAGTTCGAGACCAGCCTGACAAACATGAAGAAAACCCGCCTCTACTAAAAATAGAAAATTAGCTGGGCATGGTGGTGCATGCCTGTAATCCCAGCTACTCGGGAGGCTGAGGAAGGAGAATCACTTGAAACTGGGAGGCAGAGGTTGTGGTGAGCGAGGATCACACCATTGTACTCCAGCCTGGGCAACAAGAGTTAAACTCTGTCTCAAAAAAAAAAAAAAAGAAAGAAAGAAAGAAAGAAAGAAAGCATGTCCATTTATTTACTTCTCAACTGTAACTGAGGGTGAGGGCAAAGAGAATGAGAGAGTCACTCCTTCTGTACCCAGGGAGACCTCTGTTCCATGCCCCTTCTGGAATGTCCTCATGCTATTAATTAAAGAACTACAAATATGAGTCAGACCCACGGGTTTACAAGTGACATGACTAAATATTCTGAGAACATGTCTGATTGAGGAAATGAACAACTATTCAGTCTTTGGCAAGAATGAAAGGCAAAAGGATGGAACAAATGCTACAGAATGTCCCAGGAAAGGATCTAGCCTTGGCGTGAAATAAACTGAATATGTCAGTTCACCTCCTACTCTCTTGGAATAATCTCAGAAACGAGTAATGGAGATTACCTAAATTATGAATGAGACAGTCAGGAAAATCTCTGTTGAGATGTTGGCAAGGCCTGAATACAGAAAACAATCCTTGTAAACTGGAAGAAAAGGAAAACACGAGGCAAAACCAGCAACACTTTCACCATTACTAATGATATGGGGCAAGGGAAGTCTCTAGTTTCTGAGAATATAACACTGGAAAAGTACTAATCTCCCAGGTGTTTAAGCTGTTCTCATCCTTAAAGTCATATAACATCCAAAGCACAGGCATACTAAAAATTCTGTTTTTAAGAGATGTTTCCCCACACAAAGGAAGTCTAGGTTTGTCCTCACTGGTGAAGGAGTTTAAACCACTGGAGTTCAAGCAATGCTTCCTTCCCCTTGCCCCTGGTCTTGGGTGTATCACATGTTGGTCACCTCACAGACCAGCAAGCACACTCCCACCCAAGCTCACCTCCCCTGAGCCACAAACACAGACGGCATGCTTGGAATGCCATGAGCGCTTTTCAGAGCCTTCAGTGGAAGAACTCTGGGACCTCAGAGAAAGGCATTGCTTTTTTTTTCCTTCTGCCCAGCTGGCACATTTATTGGCATTAAACACAAGACCCTTTCCAGCACCAGGAAGCCACGCCCAAAGGGTGTCCCTCTGCCCCATTTCTGCAAAAACTCTCAGGACTTAGCAGTAGCCTAAGCTGCCCCAGGGCTGTGAGCTGCTGAATCTTCTGGCTCATCATTTCCACGACAGCCTGTTTCATGGCATGCTTCTCCTCGAGAGCTGGTTGGATATTCTCCATCTGCTTGGTTAGAAAATCTATCTTCCTCTTGAAGAAGTCCTTGGCATCCTCAGCTGTCTTCTCTACATAGTACCCAGTTCCCACATCGATGAGCACATGCTCCACATCATGCAGCTTCCCAGGGACATACATAGAACTTGTCAGTGGGACGAGTAATTCTTTCCCCTCAGTGCTCTTGTTCAGCACATTCAGACAGTACTTGGCTTCCACATACTTGGTCTGTACCACTTTGAGCTGGGCAATAGACATGGACAAGAACTCCACTTCCTGGTCCAGCTGGTTTTTGAGTATTTCTAGCTGCGACAGATTCAGCTCCGTGATGTTAATCGACTGCGCCATGTTGGGAAGCGAAAGGTATTTCTTTGCTTTGTAAACAAACACATGAGAATGAACCTCCCTTTTTTTTTTTTTTTTTTTTTTTTTGATGGTTGCTAACTAGGGTAATGGTTGCTGAAGGTTTGGGTCGCTATGGTAGTTTCTTAAATTAAGACAACAATGAAGTTTGCTACATCAATAGACTTTTTCATTCCTGAAAGATTTCTGTATAGCATGCAATGCTGTTTGATAGTATTTTACCCTCTGCAGAACTTCTTGCAACATTGGAGAGAATCCTCTCAAACTTTGCCACTGCTTTATCAGTTCAGCTTATGTAATATTCTAAATCCTTTGTTGTCATTTCAACAACGTTCATGGCATCTTCACTTTCTTTGCTCATCCTGAAGAAGCAACTCCTCATTCATTAAAGTTATATTATGAGATTGCAGCAATTCAGTTGCATCTTCAGGGTTCTCTTCTAAACCTCGTTCTCTTGCTATTTCCCTTGCATTTGCAGTTGCTTCCTCCTGAAGTCTTGAACCCCTCAAAGTCATCCATGAGAGTTGGAACCGACTTTTCCCAACTCCTGTTCATATTGGTATGTCGATCTCCTCCCATGAATTATGAATGTTTTTGATGAAATCTACAATGGTGAATCTTTTCCAGAAGGCTTTTAATTTACTTTGCCAAGATCCATCAGAGGAATCACTATCTACGGTAGCTGTAGCCTTATGAAATATATTTATTTTTTCAATACCTTGGTGAACTCTCTAGTTCATTTGGAATATTCTATAGCTTTCACCAACCTGTCCTTGGTGCTCTCCAGCCTGTGAAATGTTACTTCTAAGGCCAAAAAATGTTAAATAATTTGACATTTTATGTGGATGCCTTGTAATTTTCACATTTTTTAAAAGTCTCTTGATAAGATTCTTTGCTTGGCCAAACTTTAGTTAGACTTCTGTACCTTCTCCCAGGCTCATCTGTATAGTTCTTCATAAAATCCAGTTTTAGCAAAGAACTCTACTAAGTCAGTTTGGCAAGAATATCCCCCACCCCATCCTCAATATCTGATAAGATTCATTATTCTCCATCATCCCACAGGTTATAATGTCTGATCACCCTGGCCTGTCGTCAGCAAGAATCCTGTTCAGTTAGTTTAGCCAGAATCTCCCTTAACCCTGCTATTTCCTCTTAGTAATTTTCCATCCACGGACCTCCATCCTGCTCCATGGCTATAAATTCCCACTTGCCCATGCTGTATTCAGAGTTGAGTCCAATCTCTCTTCCCCACTGCAAGATCTTGTTGCGATGGTCCTTGAACCTATTAGGAGGGTCTTGAATAAAGGCTGCCTTTACTGTGCTTTAGCAAGTGCAAGTGTCTTTGAATAATTTTTCTTTAATATTCTCTTTATTCATCTAGGAACACTGTTAAAATCACTTTTTTTTTTTTTAGGTGGAGTTTCACTCTTGTTGCCCAGGCTGGAGTGCAACGGTGTGATCTCGGCTTACCGGAACTTCCACTTCCAAGGTTCAAGCAATTCTCCTTCCTCAGCCTCCTGAGTAGCTGGGATTAGAGGCATATATCACCATGCCTGGCTAATTTTGTATTTCTAGTAGGGGTTTCTCCATACTGGTCTGGCTGGTCTCGAACTCCTGACCTCAGGTGATCCATCTGCCTCGGCCTCCCATAGTACTGGGATTACAGTCATGGGTCACCGTGCCTGGCTCTATAATCACTCTTAAAGATATTTCTTTGGGATCACTTTCTCTAAGATCTTGCTACAGTTTTAGGGTTGTTATTCCCCAGCTGCTGATCCATTTTAACCACACCATTTAGGAACCTTGACAGAGATGGAGTGAAAGGCAGGAATCTGAGAGGACGAAGAAATAGGGAATTTCTCCTTTCCACTATTCCACTCTCTGACCCAACAGAATATTGATGATTATTGCAAATGGAAGTTTCTCATTTCCAAACAAATAAATTGGTCAATAATCCCTAAGTGGACCAAAAAAAAAAAAAAATCACTGAGGTGGACTTGAAAGTTAAACCCACCCCAGCTCATACAACATGAGACCTAACTGCACCCTAACCGCTGGAAAAACTGCAGGCACAAACAGTTTTGCTCTTGCATAAACTCTGGATTAGAAAGAGGATTTACTGGCATATTTTTATAAACTGAGTAGCTCTTTTGACAGAAATCATTGGGCCTTCTGCTCTCTGGTTGAAGGCAGGAGAGTGAGAAATGATCTCAATTCCATTACCTAAGAAGGCTTATGGCCTAGACTCAAACTACCAATTGAGTCATATTCCCTAAGGATAGTGTGTCATCTTTTTGTCAATGAAAAAGGTAAAATTATTCTTAAACCACTCTATAAAATAAAAACATCATCTAAAGCACAGTGTATCAGGACTTTTTTTTTTATTTTTTATTATTTTTGAGACAGAGTTTCACTCTTGTTGCCTAGGCTGGAGTGCAATGGCGAGGTCTTGGCTCACCGCAACCTCTGCCTCCCAGGTTCAATCAATTCTCAGCCTCACAAGTAGTTGGGGTTACAGGTATGTGCCAACTCACTCAGCTAATTTGTATTTTTAGTAGAGATCAGGGTTTCTCCATGTTGGTCATGCTGGTCTCAAACTCCCAACCTCAGGTGATCCACCCACCTCAGCCTCCCAAAGTGCTGGGATTATAGGTGTGAGCCACCATGCCCAGCCTATCAGGAGTTATAGAGACAAAAATAGCAACATCCATCTCCTGTAAGAAGATTATAATGAAAAGAACATCTGTAAAAAGCACCCAGTGGCAGTGCTTAGCAAACAGTAGGTGCTCAACAAAAACATGAAAAGTAGCTGCTGTTTTAGGGAGTCTGTAAGCCAAAGGAAATCAGGTCAGTGAGATACTACCAGATATTCCGGATCCTTTTCCCACATATACTTACTGGGTCTCAGCTCCTAGCAGCATTTCCACTTTCTCGTTCGCATGGTTACTAAGAACTGTCAGAGTAAAGAGGTGACTGGCAGAGCTCTGTCTTGAATAAAGCATTGTGGAGCTGTTCTTCCCTGGAGAAGAATTAAGCTCTTCATTGTCACAAGATTCTACCAATAGCTGATCTCTTAAGGAATAATCATTGACGTTGTAACTTTCTTCACTATAAAGGAAAGGGAAAAGAACATGTCAATATTCAGCAGATAAGACTGTGACACTGTCAGTTTTCAAGGCACATTTTGGTGGAAATGTTAAGGAGTAGGCAGGAAGGAGGGGGAGAGAATGACTTATTTTAAAATATGAATTGGAATTCTATCTACTGATTATGATTCAATGTAACCCCCTCCAATTAAACCTAATTACTATTTTTATGTGTGTAAATACTAAATTGCATTTTGAGTATAAAAGCAATACAAAAAAATAAAAAATAAAACCCTCTAGGTTTCGTTTGACATCATCCTGGAACTGTTATGTGATCCTTGCATCCATCTTGGTAATGCTGCAGCTGGTATACCTCCCCAGCTTCCACATCTCCATTTGCAAAATAAAGAAGCCCCAAATCTACTCATGCTCTGGGTAACAAGACCTTGCCTCCAAAACACCCATCTCCAAATGACCATGCATTAGAGAGAAGAGCCCCAGAGGTCTGCTTGCTTCTGGCAAGATACTCAACCCATTCTTCTGTCCCACACCCAGAGCCTCACCACCTGTTTCAGAAACCACCAGGACTAATCCCATCACACCCTCTATTCCCACTTAGGCTCAGGACCCCCCCAATATCCTTCATTCGCCTACACTCCACCTTTTTCCACTCCTCAGCTGGTTCCTGAACACCTTCCACTGTGCCCTCTGGGAATACAATTTCCTAATTTAGGGAATGCAGTAAAGTCTTCTAAATACTTGGCCCCATCCCTGAACTTTCCCTTCACATTCTTGCCTTAAAAGAAACTTGGCTATCCCTACAAGACAAGGCAACTCCTGAGAGCTCTCTCCTGCCTGCTTTTTATTCTTGCTTCTATACAATCATCACTTCCACCTCCTGAAAAATCATCAGCTTTGAAGTTCATGCCATCAGTCTCTAACTCACAACCACAGTCATCTATAGACCTCTGGATCATTCCCAATCCTCTCCCTTGAGTTTCATTGCTGGCTCTCTGTCCACAATACTTCACACACACACACACACACACACACACACTCTCTCTCTCTCTCTCTCTCTCTCTCTCTCTCTCTCTCTCTCTCTCGTCATCTACATCAAGTCCCCAACACTACTTCCTTCTTGAATTCCCATGTAAAGGATCTTTCCATTACCCTGTACCCTCAACTCTCTGACTTACTCTCCTCCAATAATATTGTTTTCTACTCTACTTCACCCACAAATCCACGGTTGTATCTTAGTCCTTGTCATTACAATCAACTACAACCTCTCTGTCATCCCAGTGTCAAACATACCACTCTCTAACCAACACAGCCTTTCTTTCCAACTGACCTCCTCTAATCCTCAACACCAACCATTATTTAACCCACCAGTTCTTGCAAACCATTGACTCTACCACCTTTTCCTGCCACCCTTAATTCCCTCAAATCCTCTTGTTCCTGCATATTAAATTACCTAGCTTGGATTTCTTGGCACTTAGTTATAATTGTGTCTTGCATACATGTTTATCTCCTTGATAGTACCTGCCTAGCAAATCCCAAACCTGGTTATATACAGCTTTTCCTCCAATCTGCGCCTGCACCCTTGCAACTTAACATGGGAGCACTCAATAAATAACTGTCACATAGTGGATGAATATGCAATAAATTCTAATATACTCTAGGAACATCAAATAATTACCTCATTTAATAATAAATGCAAATGCATGAAGTCAGGGGAGCTTAGAGAAAAGAAAAATGCTTGTACCTAATCAAGTACACTAGGAATTTCAAAACGGGACAATTTGCTCAAGATTTCTTGGAATTAATTTTACTCAGCAGCGGATATCTGTCAACCACTCTCTTGTAATGTTCCTTGAAAAACTGTAATCTTTTCTAAAATTTAGCTTGATAGACTCTCCCCTCAAAAAACAGTAAATGCCGTTATCTATAAAAGCAAAATACTGCCTTCTGATCAAGCCTAATTGTTTCTAGGATAGTAATCTGTATTAACTAAAAGTTTGTGTGGCATGATTATGTCCAAAGCTCTCCTGAGATTGCCTACAGACCAGCACACCCACACCTGGATATGTCAAATATTTGTTACATCCATAATGAGACTTATCAAAGCAGACATGACGTTTACAAAGAGGAAGCTGAATAATACGCTTTACAAACAAATATGGTTATTTCTTAAAAGACTAGATTTATAGAAACAAAGCAGTCAATTTTTAGCAGCATAGAACAAGTTTATAATGTTATAGATACTACATCAGACATGCATTTAACAGCACAGAACTCGGGATAAAACCCAAAAACCAGGATAAAGCAGCAAACATAACAAAACCTCAACAGCAACAGCATCAAAAACAAGAGAAAAAGAGGATGAACTGAGGCTTCCTTGTTTCCATTTCCTCTCTGCCTCTTCTGATTACTCTTTTGGTCCAATTTACAAGTTAAAAAAGGTAACCTGTTAGTCAAAGGCACCTGTTTCCACTTAAAAACAATTCTGCTTCAGAAACAGAAATGGAAGCAACCTAATATTGTGAACGTGGGGTAAGGCCCTAAACAATGACATGTACATAGGTATTGTAGGTATTTTGAAAGAAATAGAAGTCAAAGAAATGTATATGTTAAAAAAGTCATCATTTGAGATGACTCAAGTTCCAAAATGTTGTCAACATAAAATGGTTTCACCTATCAAGTCATTCCAATAGAATTCAAGACCAAAGGTTTACAAAAAATGAATATAAGTTAATATGAATAAACTATTTAAGGGTTTTTTTGTTTTGTTTTTTTGAGATGGAGTCTCGCTCTGTTGCCAGGCTGAAATGGTGCACTCTCGACTCAATGCAACCTCCACCCAAGTTTAAGCAATTCTCCTGCCTCAGCCTCCCATGTAGCTGGGATTACAGGCATGTGCCACCTCACGTGGCTAATTTTTGTATTTTTAGTAGAGATAGGGTTTCACCATGTTGGCCAGGCTGGTCTGAAACTCCTGACCCTCAAGTGATTGACCTCCCAAAGTGCTGGGATTACAAGCATGAGCCACTGTGCCCACCCAGTTTTGTTTTCTCATTCAAGAGCCATCAATGCTTTAAATTTTTGTCTTTTGGGGATAAAGACAGAAGTAGATGTTTTTAAACGTTTATTAGTTGTTCTCTTAAGTAATGACAACTACAAAGTCACTGATTAAGAGCCAGGGTGGCTGCTGGGCTCATTTTATGCCTACAGTCCTCTCAAATGTCCAGTTTGAATGATAAACTGGCTGCTCTAATTATAGCTGTATGATTTCACCCTAAGTATTTATTTCCACACATCTGCATAAGTGTGTCATTAAATACACCTGAACAAGGATTTTGGTCCACTGGACTTCTAGGTCCAATATAAAATGCAGGAAACATGTTGGCCTTTTTTGTTTTGCTTTTTGAGATGGAGTCTCACTCTGTAGCCAGGGCTGGAGTGCAGTAGCGTGATCTCGGCTCACTGCTACCTCTGCCTCCCGGGTTTAAGCGATTCTCCTGCCTCAGCCTCATGAGTAGCTGGGATTACAGGCGCTTGCCACTACATCCAACAAATTTTGTGTATTTTTAGTAGAGAAGGGGCTTCACATGTTGGCCAGGCAAGTCTCTAACTCCTGACCTTGTGATTCGGACACCTCGGCCTCCCAAAGCACTGGGATTCTAGGCGTGAGCCACGGTGCCCGACCCTTTTTTGTTTGTTTTAAAAGCGATTTACTACCAATCATCCAATATTCAATACTTATTTCATCTAGGCCAGTAAACTTCTGTATTACATAATAAATAATGTAGGTGTTCACCCCTTTACTGCTTTTTTAGGGACTCTAATATAAAAAGAAACAATTCCATTTAATAGTAGTGAAGTAAATAGATTTATCCTTATTGGCTACATAATTCAAACCCAGTGGGACAAAAACTGAAAGGAAAAAAAAAAACTGAGACTGGGTGCAGTGGCTCATGCCTGTAATCCCAGCACTTTGGGAGGCCGAGGTGGGCAGATCACAAGGTCAAGAAATTGAGACTACCCTGACAACATGGTGAAACCCCGTCTCTACTAAAAATACAAAACTTAGCGGGCGTGGTGGTATGAACCTGTAGTCCCAGTTACTTGGGAGGCTGAGGCAGGAGAATTGCTTGAACCTGGTGGGTGGAGGTTGCAGTGAGCTGAGAGGGAGCCACTGCTCTGCAGCAGCCTGGCAACAGAGTGAGACTCCGTCTCAAGAAAAAAAAAAAAAGAAGAAGAAAGAAAAGAACTGAAAAAAAGAACAAAAATTGAAAAGCAGCTCACTCTTGCTTGCTAGCTCTTGATGTTCTCACACACACACATATACACTTACACACTTTATCTCATGAAGATTTGAATGATCACTGAAATACTGAATGAAATTCGTTCTCTTACTGTCAGCCAGCACCTATCTCTTAATAGAGAGTAACTGTTAAAACGTGTGTTCAGTAGAAAGCGGCGAGGCAACTCTATAGCCAGGTGCAGCTATTTAAAGCCCATTTTCCACCTCTGCTTACTTACCCATGTCTAATAAGTGTGGAGCAGGCTAAACAGGGTTGGGAAAGAAACTCCTTTCCTGAGGGAAGCTGATGCTAATCAGACTTCCCCATATTTGTCTCTATCATTTAACAAACATATGGTTTACATAGCCTCTGAAACAATTTGGAACATGTAACGAGGAAGTTAAAGTGCTCAGAAAAGGGCAAATGGAAAAACCATCTTTCCTTGCATGGAGAAGTTTATATGGAGACTTCCTTTGATTGT